GGTGTATATACACACACAGTGACAGGCTCTCTAGTGTGTTACACATGGGAGTGCATATGGGTGTATATACACACACACACACTGTGACAGTCTCTCTAGTGTGTTACACATGGGAGTGTATATGTGTGTATATACACACACACACACAGTGACAGGCTCTCTATGGTTACACATGGGAGTATATATGGGTGTATACACACACACACACACAGTGACAGGCTCTCTAGTGTGTTATACATGGGGGTATGTATATGTATAGATGTATATATATACACACACAGATTGACAGACTTGCTCTCTAGTGTATATATGGGGGGAGGGTGGTGTGTGCATATATATATATACACACAGAGTGACAGACTCTCTCTCTAGTGTGATACATGGAGGTGAAAAGGAAAAAGGTGTGTGCACATATATATATATATATATATATACCCACCCCTACATAAACTAGAGACACTGTCACTCTGTGTGTGTGTGTGTGTACACACACTAAGATTAAACCCTCCTGCTGGGAGGCCCTGCCCTCCTCTGCCCTCTCTCCCCTGTGCTGGCACAGGGTCCCATCTCCCACCACCCCAGTGGGTGTGTGTGGCCACGGCTCTCCAGAGGGAGGAACCAAACCAACGCAGGAATTCCAGACATTTTTCCCCTCCATCAGACACACACACCCAAGAGCTCCTCCCAGAAAACACGATTTAGCCACACGGGGCTGCATTTTGGGTTTCCTTAAGGAAGGAAGCTCACACTACAGCCCTTCTGCAGCTTCTTGTCTCCTGCCCCATGGGAGGGCTCAGCAACAGCTCTGTCATGACTGGTTGAGCCAGTCCAGCATGTCCCAGGCATAGGCTGCAGCCAGGGCAGTGTGGGACACACCTTGGAGCAAAAAGACACTGAGCAGGGATGGTACTGGGAGGAGCCACCAAGCTGGGCTGGAAATAAACACCCAGCAGAGGGGAACAGCCAGCCCTGGTGAGCTCAGTAAGGGCCAGGGTGGTGTATCAGCCCCTCACGCACCTTGCTGGAGCTCACTGAAGCTGATAGAGCCTGACTGGTCTCTGTCATACTGCTGAAAGAGGTTCCTCCACTGCTGGATGAAGTGCAGCAGGGCTGAGAAGCCGTACACGTCGATGCGGCCTGACCTGGTCCTATCAAACATGTCTGGGGAGGAAAGAACAAAATGCAGGAGCAAGAACACAGTGCAGACACCCCCAGAGAGCTCAGGATCTGTGCTGCAGCCCTTTGGTCCCTGCCTCTGGCCCCAACAGCCCTCCCTCACCAGGACTGCACCCAACCAGCATCACTCAATCCCAAAGAGACCAGTTAGAAATGGAACCAAGACCCAATGAAAGTGGGGGAATGGGGCAACTCTGGAGCTCTCCCTCCCTTTGCTCCCTGGATTTCCAGGAGCTGGGGGCTTATGCAGAGCTGGGTTCCCTTTCCCAAGCAGCATTTTGGGCCTCCAACTCATATCCTCCACCATAAGGTCACTGGGAGTTGCCTGGTTTGCCCAGCTCTGGCTCCAGGAAGCCCTGCCTGGGTGAGGGAGGCACACAGATCACACCAGGCTCCATCCCGACAGAGCCTCATCTCAGAGAGACGGGAACAAAAAGCCTGAGAGATTCCCGGACTCACTGATCATCAGCAGGCAGGTCTGGTCGTTGAACGTGGACCAGTTGGAGTTGACCAGCGCCTGCTTCAGCTCGTTGACAGAGATGAACCCGCTGCCATCGGTGTCCACCGCCTGGAACCAGGACAGGGCCTCGGGGTCCACGCCGGGGGGGGCACCACCTGCGGGGGGCAATAAACCGGGTCTGGGCGATTCCGTTCACACGGTGAGTCGGTCTGAGGAGGAAGGTGCCGGGCCAGCCCCCCCGGCCTGGCAGCCCCGCTCACCTC